CTCCCCTGCTCCCCAGCAAAGATCCCACTTCTGCTCTAAATATAGACTCCACCCCACTGTGCTGCCTACTCTGTAAATCAGGGGAAACAAGTCTTTCCACCCCTAAGAAAATATTTGCACCCACAGCAAAATCAGCAAATTTTTGGCTTTCCCCCAGCTGGGCTTTGGTACAAACTTTTTCTGACATTTTACCAAAAACAGCAGCTTTTTAAGAGGGAAATGCTTTTCTGACCTGCAGACTTCTTTCATCCATATGTGACATATATATATAATTTTATTTTATATATTATATATTTATATATAATTAACTATACATATATCATATATACATATATAATATATGCACATGCATAATTATATGTATATAATCTATATTACATGGAACAATTGTGTGTTATATATATCATACAATATATTTATATGTAAATATATGTATATGTATATTTAATATGTGTTTTACGTATGTGTATGTGCATGAATGCATATACCCATGTATGTATATATAAACCCTGAGAGTCAGTACAGCAAAGCCACTTGGGATCAGACTGAGCTACGCTCACTACCTGCCTCTGACGGGTTCTGGCTTGTGATCCTGGGCAAGTCCATTCACCTTTCAGTATCCCATGCAACTTTCCAATATTGTAAATTACAGAAGGGGTGTCCATTTGCATTGGTGGAGGGAATTTCCACCACAGGATTTCCTTGCAATGATGAAATCAAAACACACACATCCACACAATCACATGCACACACAATCATACACTCACACCTACAATCTCACACACAACCACAATGGTGTAAATGGAAAGAACAATGACAAAACAGTTGAATTGAAACAGAACACTATGAAATTATACTGACCAAGCTAAGCTCAGAGAAGAGGGGAGACAAGCCACCTTCCTCCCTCCTTCCCTCTCTCCTTCCCCTCCCTCCCACCTTCTCCCACCTTCCCCATTCTGCCCTCCCTTCATCCCCCTGTCCTTCCCTCCCTCCCTAGTTCCCTAGCCCTCCCTCCTTCTTCCTGTCTCCCTATCCTTTCCATCCTCCCTTTCCCCTCTTCACTCCCTCTCCCTCCCTGTCCTTCTCTTCTTTATCCTTCTTCCCTCCCTCCCTCTTCCTCCTCCCTCACTCCATTCATGTGTAACAATCCAGATTCTGTCAGACCTCCTTGATGTCCTGGCTAGTTTGGCTGAATTGTTCTTTCTTCCTCTATTTGTTTTCAATTTTCCTCTTATAAGCTATGAGCTTCTGGGAGGAGAAGAGAGGGATGCACCAGGAGATGCAGATGATATAAAATCAAAAGATAGCAATAACATTGATTTTACACATACACATGCATGTGCTACAAGTGTGTATGCAAGTGTGTGTGTGTGTGTGTGTGTGTATTATATATATATAATGTATATATATGCACACACACATATAAATGGGTAGATGAACCTTATGGTACTTCCCATCTCCAAGCTTTCTGATCCTACTTGTCCCCCACCCCTCATTTTTCTGGAGTTTCCTGATATCTTACAGAGAGCCAGGGTAACCCCAGCCTTCTTACTCTTTTCCTAATACACAGACCCAATGGCTAGCTAGCTAGCAGGGCCACTAGGGCCACTAGCCCATTTTCTCTTCATGATCCTTCCAAAGATGGAGAACAAGGCCATACAGAAGAACTGCCCCCAGAAAGCAGGACGGAGCAGGCCAGGATACTCTGGGCACAGAACTTCCAATGCTTTCTTTGGGTGTAGACCTCCATGAAGACTGACTTCATCTTCTACCAGAGGAATGAGGGTCTGTGAAAACAATGTTTGGCTTTGGGAGAAACCTAACAAAGAGTTTATTTTGGTCACAAAGAGAGAGAGAGCAGGTTTTGAAGTCCCTTTCTAACAGGGTGTTAATGTGTGTTGCCAGGCATCGGCCTCAACAAAGGCAAGTTCGCACATGAAGGAGGCATGTGGCCGTCCATCCACAGACCCTCCCCAAAATATGGACTGCACATGTGCAAAGAGCCACTGGGGAGGCAGGGAGGCAGGGAGGCGGGGAGGCAGAAGGCTGCTCTCCCAGGCTCCATTTTTATTGCTAATTACCATAGGCAATGGTCTAGATCAGCCCCACCCCATGAGGTCCTCTGCTTTTAGTCACACAAGCCCACTGGGACAATGACCCAGCTGTTACTCTGCTCCATTCACTTTGGATGTGGAGACTTCCAACAGGGCAGATGATCTCAGGCACTTACCTACCACCTTGGCTTTTGTCTGACTTTTCTGTTATAAATGAAATTTGCCAAAGGCAAGGGAGGAGGAGAAAGAAAAGAAACAGGACACAGACTGAGGAGATCCATGTGCAGCATGACACATGCTCTTGGGTTGCTTTTTGGGGTTTTTGTCTTGTTTTGTTTTTTTAACTACATATATAAGGATTGTTAAAATGCAAGCTCAGAAGGCAACAAGCTTCCTGACAGAAAAGGGGCCTCTTCGGGCCCAAACTCCTCCGCCACCAAGATTTCTGAATTCGGCGAGGAGGGGAACCCATGTCAAAAACAACCACCCCTTTATGCAAAAGTTGATTAGAAGTCAAGGAACAAAAACACACTTTCTGGGGATCTGATATTTGTTAAAATGTTATGTTTTCTTTTTCCTGGTCAACTCGGACGAGTTTAGAAAAGCTACCTCATCAATCTGGGCAACTGTCAAAGCCCCCCAACTAAGCCTTGGAAAGTCATTGGCTTTTCTCTTCCCAAGATGACCAGCTAATACCCGTCCACCAGACAAAACATCTCTGTCTGATGTTGAGTTTACCCATCCCCAAATAGATGTGCCAATGAACCACAGAAATACAACTGGCAGGGACTTTAGAGGTCAATGCTGAGGAAACAGAGGCCAACAAACACCAAGTGATGGGCCTAATGTCAAACAAGGGACAGAATTGGGATTTAAATACAGGTTCTGTACTCTACATCCAGTCCTGCTTGTGCTAAACTATGCCAGGCACACTTACCATCTCTAGCTAGGCACTACCCTCGTTCTAATCTGACTACGCATTTAGCACAGTGCCCGGCATTTTGTAGGCACTTAATAAATCTTTGCTGAACGACTGACTGACTGCCCCACAGACATTCCTATCCTTTGGAAGACCAGGAAATCCATTCACTCTCCCTCACTTCTCCCCCTGGCACAAACCCCACACCCAAACAATCTGGTGCTCTGTTGGCTGAGCCCGGACCCAAAGGTCTGAGGTGTGTGAGAGAAAGATGTTCCTGGACTTGGGGAGGGAAGTACCTGGAAGCACAGAAAAAGAACTAAGTTCAGCAAAATGAAGAAAAGGCAAAACAGCAAAGAGAAAAAAGAGGCAGGCGGGGTGAACCAAGCCAATCCAAAACTGCAAGCGAAGGTTTGGATAACGTGTGGCCACAGGGCTGAGGTCACGCCATCTCGAATGTTTTCTTTTTCCCCTCCATCATTCTCTCTGAGTGTGTCTCTGCCCACATGCACCAATGGAAGTCTTTGCCCTCCGCAAAGAAGAACAAGACCTTGGCAAAAACCCAGTTTGGCCGCTGGCTGTGGGGAACCTTCTCTGGTATGGACTTTGAATGAGCCGGTGGGAAAGACAAAACAATTTGCCCCTTCCATCATTGTGGGCTTGAAACTGGACAGTCAGTGCCTGCTTGGGGGGAGGGGGTGTCAGGGAAAGGGAAGTGACAACTACCCCTTTTATAGCTGCCATGAACCTCAGTGAAGAGACAACTTTAGCATAAAAGACAGGAAGTCTTTTTGATTTGGTTTTGTTTTTCTGAATTATCTTCATGAGAAAGACCTTCAAAAGCCCCAATGTGTGTGTGCCAGAAAGGGAGAAGGACCAAGCATTCAACAGAATCCTGAAAAATTCAGAAACAAATTGTAGCTGGTGAAGACACCTTCACCAGTTTCTGACTGCTAGGTCTGGGGAGTGAGACAGGGCTTTCTGCATCTTAAAGAGTTTTCAAAAAACAACTGACCTAGGACTTGGGAACCTAATTCAATCAAAACTGATTAAGTGTTTTGTGAAACACTAAGGATTCAAAGACAAAAAGAAAAAGCAACTCCTCCCCTGCCCTCACAGAGCTTACATTCTACATGGAAAGGGAAAGATAAGAAATTCCTAATTTTATCAGATAAGATCACAGAAAAATATTTTTAGAAACTAGTCTTAGAAACTTAGAAACTAGTATCTAGCCTTGCTTGACCTAAGAAAGAACAAAATGTTGACCTGAGCCTTCTGTCTTTAGAAGTTTAAAAACAGCAGCCTGCCTGGGGCTGATTGTGAAGGACATTTCATGACACACCATACATTGTGTTGATCAATGTCAGGGTTCATTCACATAGCTAACCCTCAAAACCCATTTTGAAGGTTGCCTCCATGTGCTACAGCTTCAGTAATTAAAGACTGTTATATGACTAATAAAAACTAAGCTAAAAAGTTAAAACCCAAACAATGGCAGGAAATAACATGTGTGTACAATATGTTACCAATACACTGATAATTTTCAAAAGTGACTTTTTAAAAAAAGTATTACAAATCTTTCAAAACACTGTGGTTTATTAAGCAAAAGGTCTGAATGGCTCAAGCTATTAAATTGAGCTTTTAAGTTTCAGTGGCACTGCCAAATCTTTTGTTCTTCTGAATTAAATTTAGAAGGCAGCATTCATTTTTCAGAGCACCATGTTTCATTGTCCTTTACTCAAACTCAGAGATCCTCCAGAGAAATGTGTTACCTTATTACCTATTATCACAATGGAGTCACAAAAACAATAACGTCATGGAGAAGGGACAGATTAAGGAACAACCCAAAGGTTTGTTTTTCCCTATGATTCTGCACACTCATATAATGCACCACCCTAGGCATGAGATGAGGGAAACAATGGCCAGAAGAAAACATTACAGAACTGCATTAAAAACAAGTTTAAAGAACAAGCTGAGCTGAGGAAGGACAAGCATTTAGAAAAAATAAGAGAGCAGAAAGTACTGACCTGGAATTCAAGCTGGTTGCAGCAAGGGAAGAAGCAGCAATTTGGAGGAGAAGCAGAGAGGAAGAAAGGGATGAAGCAAAGAATAAAAGAAAGGGGAGAAAAGCATTAGTTTTCAAACAGATAGCCAACTGATGCACTATTAAGCAAAGTCATAAGCAAACAATGAGCATTGATCAATCAATCAATATTGATTAAGCACCCCCATGTGCCAGGTACTGTGCTAAGCGCTTCCATTTCATTTGTATCTGCTATTCCCCTGGAAAGTCCATGAGCATACCTTGCAATTTAGAATATCAAGAATTCTCCCCTGGAAGCCAATTTCTGCCTCAGAGGCCCTGGTGCAGCCCCCTCTGATGCAAACCAGAGGTGCACTTGAGTCAGCCAACGGCAGAGTTTGGCCAATTCCGGTATGAATATTTATACAGACATTCCCTATCTGTAGGTCCATAAACTTTTATGATTTAATAAATAGAAGTGGAAATCACAAAGGTAGCATATCTCATTATAAGCTCAGGGGTCACACAGATATGATTTGACCCAGCAAGGGTTGGACCGATACATATTCCTTTGGTTATTTCTCTTTTCATGCCTGAAAATTAAAAGAGACTGAGCAATCTGGCTATGTGGGCTCAGGGATCAGTATTTTAGGGGTTCGGCAAGCCATGTGCCTAGGAAGGATCCCAGACAAAATTAGGGATCTTTCGGTTGAGGCATTCTCTCCTCCACCTCCAACCCCCTCCCCATCCTCATGTACCCCCTACTACCATCACCCATAAGATACAGTTTCTTCCAGAGCCGAAAATAGGGTTTGGGTTTTTTTTTCTAATTGTGAAAATAAAGTTCATATTTCATCACTATAAATACCCATATGTTTAGTATACAATATCTAAAATGCATTTCCAATTAGCCATCAAAACACTATAATATAAATATATACATGAACATGTTATATACACAGATAAATGTTACTATATACATTATTACATATATTTATCTATATCTATATATAATGTATATATGTGCTATCTAATATATACTATTGAATAGACACATACACACACACACACACATATATATATACACACACACATACACACATATCTATATACCATCAGGGTATTTTTCTAGTATTATTTTTATCTATTCTTTAAAAATACAAAAAAAACAAATTAACTCGAAAATTGGTCTTTTGACTATCTTCTATTTGAGATCAATTCAATTTCTGTATGTTTTTGCTGGAGTTCTTGTGTATGTATATTTTGTATGTTTGTTTCAGGCAGATGATTTCATATCTTTGGAGATCTCTCAGCACAGAAAAATCCTCTCCCAATGCAGATTGTCACCTCATCTGTAACTTCCAGTCTTGGAAATGTCATCTGGGGCTCTCTGAGATCGAGTGACTTGCCCAGGATTATAGAGTTAGGATACGTCAGCAGTGAGACTTGAACTCAGGTCCTTCCTGATCCCAAGACCGTCCCTCCAGATGGAGAAGCAAGGGACTCAGAGGACAGACTGAGGCACACTATTTTGGACATGGATAATGCAGGAATGTGTTTAATTTGACCATATGTGTTTGTAACAGGTTTTGTTTTTCTTGCTTTTTCAATAGAGGGAAGAGGGAGAAAATCTGAAGCTGAAAATAAATAAAATTCTAAAAATAAATAAGAGCCGAACACAGTCATTGGAGCCGTGAGTTAAAGCTGGAAGGGACCCAGGAGGTCACCTAGTTCAAGCCTTTCACTTTACAACGAGGAGGCTGAGGCAAAGAAGGATGAAGCTGCTTGTCTAATGTTGCACAACCTGAAAGTGGCAGAAGAAGATTCTAAAGGCAGATCCTTCGTCTGCAAATTCATTTCCATTACACTTCCTTACGGTCATCCATCAATAGATTCTGTTCATCACTCTGTTCCCCATTAAAGCTTGTGTGAAGATATGACCTCCCTTGGGTTGAATTGTTAACCTCTCAAAAATGGTGTCAAACCATCTCCAACCAACTTGGCATGACTATGTTAATAATACACTAATGAATTTCAAAGAGAAATCCTCTGGCCAAGATGGCGCATGATAAGAGCCCACCCCCCCGTCTGCAATGCTATGCAACTACGGAACCCTTCTCATACCTGTAGTCGGTTCTTCCTGTCATGTGAAATGCCAAGCCTTTTCTCAGCTCACATTTATTTATATACTTCTACTACAGAATGTTTCTGATACAATTTTTCCAAGTCAATCACCATTTAATGAAATGAGAGGACACGCACAGCATAATGGAAAATGTACCAAGTTTACAGTCAAAGGGCCTGGTTCAAATCCTGCCTCTGACGTTTCCTACCAATGGGACCATTGAACCTCTGTACGCTTCAGTTTGCTCCCTGTAAAATTATAGGGTTGGATGGCATGGCCTCTGAGGTCTATTAGCTCTGAATTTATGATCCTTTGAGCTCATTAATATCGAGGATTTCCACTATGAATACTCCTTCCACCAAATTGTGGCATCACTTGCCTATAACTGGTAATCCTAGAGAGTTGCCTGGGACACTTAGAGATTAAGTGACTCAGCCCGGGTCTTCTTGACTCTAAAGCTGGCCCTCTAACGTTGACTCTGCTGTGTTGCTTCTCATTATTATCATAGCTGTCTCCAAAGTGGAATGGGCTGCTTCTGAAATAGTGTGTTCACCCTCACTAGTAAAGGCTAGTTGAGAAGTTATCAGGTATATTAGAGGGCTGATTTCTTGGGCTAGATCTCCGAACTTCAGGCTTCCTTTAAAAGGGTCAAATTAAACAAGGCTCACCAAGCCGATGGCAAAAACTTTGCAAAACTCACAGCAATATTTTAAAACTATTGCTGTTATTATAATCATCATCATTACTGTTATTGATATTATGTCAGTGAGAAATTACAACCATTGCTGGCCCTTTTTTGCATATATTCTCTTTAAAACTCAGTTTCCTCATCTGTAAGATGAAGGCGATGGAGTCAAGATAGAGCCTAAGGTCCCTTCAGCCCTGAATCTATCTTTCCCATAATTCTGTGACCCCTTTCTGATCCACACAATGCCTTAATCTTACTTCAGGGAGATGAGTTAAGACCAAGGTACCCATGTTGGTAGGGACGCTACCGATGGTAGAGACACACGGCTTCCATTTTTATTTCTATTTTTTCTTCTCATGATAGTAAGTTGGTATGAGATCCCTGAAAGGCAAATCTATTTGTGTTCAATTTTAACTACATTCATAATTTCTTTTGCATCGAGAATTCCCAATGAGGAAATGCCCTCTACTAATGCATACCAGCATTTGCTCTGCAACTGAAAGCCTGAGTGAGTTGCTGGGGGTACTGAGAACTTAAATGCTTTGCCCAGGTTCATGCAGCCAGGATATTGGGGGGGGGCAGGGATTTGAACTAGGTGTTTCTATTTTATTATCAATTTTGAAATGTTGCCCATTTCTACTGCCAGGCACAGTCAGACCTTGAAGTGTCCATTCACTTATTCTCCAGTCCATTATCAGGGTGGTTTTTTTTTTCTTTCAACTGTACTTGAACCAAAAAGGGTCTCCATGGGTCTATAAGCAGGGAAGTGGCCCTTGCCAGAACCTGCTCTCAGGGACTAGGAGAAGAAAAACATAATTGGAGGCAGATATCTCTGGATTCCAGGCATTACCTTGGTTTACAGGTAAGAGGCCCAGGAAGTCAAGTTGTCATAAAAGGGAAACCATTTTTCCACCCAAAAGATGCCTGTAGATCACACAGGGCTAACAGGGAATTTGAAAAAGCAACCTCTAATGCCTAATTGTGCTCATAGGAAAATGAAAAGAACACTCCTCTCACAAAGAATTTAAGAGTTTGTTCATATGTTCTTATCCTAGTGTGCTGCCTATGAAATTTACCCATTGTGGAGTAGACCCAAATGGGAACAGGAGGAAGTTGGATTTCCAGACTAACAACATGGCTTTGAAAAAGCAAAGAATCCATTTGGATAAAAAGTGGGAACGTGGGATTCTGCTACCGGGAGCCAGCAGCCCTGGACCCAACATCTTCCCTTGCCCATGACTGAAACCAGGGTCGGGTTAACAGCGGGCTCCCCAGCCAGGTCAGTCCCATATCCAATGGGTGACCGCAGAATCCTTTCAAAACCAATTTCCAATCTCTGAATCATAGACTTAATTACAAACATTCCTTCATAATGTTGGAATGGAGATGTCTGTCCCTGCGGCTCAGAGATCTGTAGCTTCCCAATCTTGTGAGGTATGAATTTTAGGGTCAGAGCCAAGAACATGAGATATGGCCCAATCAGAAGGAGGTCATCTCGCAATGCAAGGGAGAAGTGAGGGGCTGAAGCCACGTTGAGCCCGGCAGAGAATGCCTCGGAAAATCAGGCTGTTTCCTTTCCCAAAGACGCCATGCTACGCTACTCTACCACCTCCACCCAGGCTGTCTGCCTTCATGTGTTCCAGGGCTGGGATAAAGACGCCACAAAGATTCCCTGCTGGACTCCAGACAAAGGAGTCACTAGGAGAGGGACAGAGCTGGGTCCCACAACATGCTTTGTGAATTACAATGCCTGGGAGGCAACAGGTTTAAGGAGAGAGACAGAGAGGGAGATAAGGAGAATGTGCAGAAAATACATACAGATAAATGCCTGTAAAAATCCATTGTCTTAATGTGCACCAGATTGAAGAAATAAAAATGTTAATACCCCCTGGTGATTTGAAGGCCCCATCCACTCAGGACCTGTTTTCTTCACTTGAAAATTATGTTATGTATACAATACCTGATAACTAATTAGCATTCCTCTGGGCCTCTTTTTTATATGAAAGCAATTTATAAGAGGTCATTAGGCCTGCCAATCCCCCGGAGAGAGAATGCAGCACACATTACTGCTTGTGTTTTGGAGTGGTTAAAGATGGGGTGACTGGGCCTGAGTGATCTAGAAATCAGGATGACCTGGGTTTCATCTAACCTCAGGAACATACTGGCTACGTCACCGGGGCACTGAGGCAGTCTGGTCTGGCAA